GGTAAGGTGGTAAGGTGGTAGCAGTGAGCCAGGCCCCGCCTTCCTCCTCGCGGACATCGTTCCCTGTGGCGGCGTCGCATCGTCTGCCTGTTTGGGACGCGGCGGTGGGGGGGGCTGGTGAGCGGGAGATGGGAAGAGGAGGAGGGATGGGGCGGGGGAGGGAGATGAGGCCAGGCGTGCTGTTTGCGCCCGATGGGCTGGGTAGGTGCTCTGCGTGCTGGCACTGGCACTGGCACTGGCTCTGGCTCTGGCACTGGCACTGGCACTGGCACTGGCACTGGCACTGGCAGCCAGATGGGCAGCAGTCAGTCTCTTGGTGTTCACTCATCAGATTCTGCTGGGCGGTTCGATTGGCGGTCTGCTTGTTTTACTGGACATGGGACGGAGAGCGAAGGGGTGGGTAGGGACGACATGGACAGGGACATGGACAGGCTGTCGAAGGTTTCTCCCTCGAGGGCTGGTGGTGGTTTTTGGCGGTGAAGGGCGGGGGCGTGGTGCTGGACTGCAGACTGATGGACGCGGGCGTGCTGATGAGCGAGAGGGCGAGTGTGGCGATGGTGGCGTGCTTGTTGCTGGAACCCGGCAGGCATCATGACGACGGCTCGTCCCAGCACTACTGCTTGCGATGGTTGCTTTGCCAGGTGCTGTTGGTCTTGCTGCTGCTGTTGCTAGGTCCTGCTACTGCTGGTCTCTCGCACGTACTGGTCACTTGAAGTTGGAGCTTTCTCGTCGACTTGACAGCGACGATGGCGCCTCTCGCTTCGTGACGGAGTGGCGACTGAGTTACGTGTGTACGGTCTGCGTCGTTGCTACTGTGTCTGCTGCTACAGCTGCCTCTCAACACACTTCCACGTCCACATCCACGTCCACATCCACACCCACACGCACATGCACCCTGAAGACTGCAGCCCGCACCACGCGCGCAGCGACCAAACCCCAGGATGGATGGCCCGTTCGCCGTCATGGACCAGCGCAGCGGTACGCAGACCGAGGCCCACCGCATGACGATTGAAAGAGTGCACGAGGCGTCTCTGTTGCACGCTTGGGCTCTCCATATATGGCTGTGGTGATGGTGGTGGTAGTGGTGGTGGTGTGCGGTTCGCGGACAGAAGGCAGAAGGCAGAACAACACGGATGCTGGCCATGGCGCCAGATAAGTCGCTGTGCTGTACGTTACGGGGAGCAGGCCATCCATGTCTGTCGTCTCCCCTTCCCCTTGGCCTTGGCCTCCCCGATGACGCTGGGCGAGTTCGTTCCATGCCCAAGTTCGGCAGCGTGGTAGCACACGCACAGCGGTCTGCGGCATCTCATACGCAGCCTGCTCTCCCTCTCTCTGTTCCTCTGTCTCTCTGTCTCTCTCTCTCTCTCTCTCTCCGAGCCTGGTGCGAGTGCGAGACGAGAGATCTGCAAGCGCGACGTCGGCACCATCTCAAGCTGCCGAGAAGGCCGTGCGCGTGTCCGTGCCCCAAGCGCCAGACGCTGCACGCACTGCGCATTTGCGGCCCGTGCGCTCGTCCTCTCGGCCTCGATGCCTCATCCGGTGCTACAGCCGCGCCCGCTAGCCGCCAGGGCAGCAGCGCAGCACGTGCCGGACGACATCTGAGTGTTTTGGCTGTGCAGGGCCCTGATGAAAGAAAGAAAAAAGAAAAGATAAGCGAGAGAAAAGATACGGGCAGGCATACCCCGAGCAGAGACGCGTTATATTGGAGCCGTGGGCGGCTGCTGGTGGCCTGACTTGACTTCTTCTTCCTCTCTCTGCGAACTGTGTGGGGACGTCGCCGTCGTGCTGCTGAGAGCACCGTGCTGGTTGTCAATCAGAGCGCCGCTTTCCGATATGGAGGAGTCCGATGCGGGCCATGCGGTGTCGTGTGCGTCTTCTCGCCAGCTGGATTGCTTGCTTACGTGCTTGGCTGCCATAAGCGGCGCAGTTCTGGCACTCTCTGTCGGACTCGCAATTGCAGACGGCAGTGGCAGTTCAACTGCCGCGCATGGCAAAGGGAAAAGTCCCGCGTGGCCCGCGCACTGCAGTTTTTCTCTCCGGCAGGCCAGGGGATGCGAGATTAGAAAAGTCGATTGGACAGGGAGGTTTATTAGAGTTTGCAGCGTTTGGTTGCTGGGGTGCGGCTAGATGCGTTGCTGGGATCATGTCTGCAGACTCCATCATCGAGATCTCCTCCATCACCGCATCGAGCTCTCCGTCTGTCTCTCCTTCTCTCTCGCAAAGAACGCCTCCGGGAGACCGTGATCAACAACCATCTCAAATCCATGTCGCCATTGCCCGCCTTGGAATTTGCTCGGCGTCGGAAGCTGCACACGGCACCATCGATGGTGGCGTCGGAAGTCGGGGATAGAGTGCTCTTCTCAAGGGAGCCACCAAGCGAGAGCTCGAATAACTTACCTTCCCCCGGCATTCGTCCCGGACCCCCAAACCCAAGACCAAAACCACCTCATCTGCAACCCACTAACAGTCGAACCGTTCCTCCACCACCACCACCATCACCCCGCCGAACCGTCAGCCCTGCTCGACGTCTCGACGTCGGAACCAGGATCCCAGCGACCGCGAACCGTCTCGAGGGTCAGACAGGCCGTGCAGCCGCGAAAAACACCCTCGCAGCAGCGCCAACCAGCGGACCAGAGGCGGTCGACGGAGCCAAGCCCGCGCGCTACAGCACCTACCCAAAAAGGCAATCCAGCAAAAACCCGAGAGAGAGAAGCCAGCCGGCACGAGGTCGCTGTGGCTTTTGCCTAACGTTAGCAGCTGCGAGCCACAGCCTCCGGAACGGGAGCCAGACCAGGCGCGCTCCGCCGTTTTGCCCTTCTCCAACTCCGGTACACTCATCAGCCACCCGGCGCCCATCATCTCACTGCCACACACCGTGTCTCGGCTGGCCAGCACTGTCCCAAACAGGCAACCCCGACGTGCGCTCTTCGGAGAGAAGGGGACTGACCAAGTCTGGTACGCTGGTGACTGGCGCCGGCGCGCGCGCGGGAAAGCTGCCAGCCAGCCAGCCAGAAAAGCGAATTCGCAAACGGCGAAGCCGTCAGACGCTCTGCCGTCGCGCCGCGTCGTCGTCCCATTCAAGCCAGCCACCCCACATGCCGAGTTTTGTGTGAAGAAGCCACCAAGCACCTGCCGAAAAAGGCAATCTGAGCACTTTACCGAACAGGTCAAAGCGAGATCAGGGACTTAGTAAGTCTTGCGCCTCGCATCGCGAGCGTGGCGCAGACCGACCGGGTCCCTCCTCGCAGCGGGAGCGAAAGGCTGATGCCGTGAATGGGCAAGCCACTCGTCCAGAACTTCCCACAGCATTGTCCCGAAAGGGTAACTCGACGTCCTTTTGACTTCGCTTCCCCTTCCCCTTCCCCACAACCCCGACTTCCTTCGAGAACAATCTTACTCTAGACTCAATCGCTCTGCCTACGCTTGCTGTAGCGGCGATCCTGCTGCAGCGGGTTCTGGCCTCCGGCCTTGGTTGTTGCCTCCAAACCTTTCCCGTCCGTTCCTTGGAGGTAGCTATAGTAGCTGGCCTAGGGGTCCCCGACGTTATTTCGGTTTGTTTTTCGTTGTCCGATCGGCCTACGTTAGCGAGGCTGGCCGATGCTGAGCGTCGGTACCAGCGCTCTTGCCTGCGTAGCTCGGTGACAGAGTGAATTTTCTGCGGCACCGCAGTAGAGCTTCGAGGTACCGGCTGGGACGGGCTGGAGCTTGAGCTTGATGAGCTTCAGCTTGTCGGTTGATCCCCGACGTGCAGCTAACTGCAGTGCTGGAGGTTCGTTTCACGTTTTGAATGCATCTGGTCCTGTTTTTCTGGACGGGGGCGCTGAACATGCATGTCAACAGCTACCTATCCAGCCAGGGTGGACGCGCCACACGTTCGGTTCCCAAAGCTTCTTGCGTGTGATGATGGATCGATGCACGATGGAACGCCGAACGATGTTTCAATCGAGCCTCGTCCAATCCTTTCCCATAGCAACGGTTCATTTCATTCCGAGCCATCCAACCTCCCCGTCTCCCACGTGCATCCAGATCCCCAACAAGCAGCAAACGCCCGCCGTCGAAGCTAAACCCAACCATCGACACCACGCGCCTCACCCCCGTCTCGCGGTCCGATTGCCCACGCAGAAACCCCCATCCCATCCCATCCTCCACGTGCCAGGGAGATGATGGACACATGGACCTCTCCACCAAACAAAGCCGTGACATGCACACACACCATCCCCATCCCCAGACTGATCTGGAGGCTCCGGCGTGCGTCGAGCGCGTGAGGATTCGGGATAGCTGAGTGAGCTAGCTAGAGCCGTGTCTAGCACACACACACACACACACCTACCTACCTACCTGCCTACCCGAGTGGCTGCGATGTCGTCCCAGTCATTCGACATCTCCGACGAACATATCTGCCGCCCAACCAACACGGCTCGCACGAACGGATGGATGCATGGCTGCTAACTTACCTTGCACGTTCGCCGCCTCCCCAGCCACGTCTGCTGCTCGGCGTCAGTCGGCAAGTCGGCAAGTCAATCTAGGCGTGGCGCGCATGCCGCGAGGGAAGTCGAACTTGCCTCGACGGTCGACGGCTTGGCTTCGATCAATCAAGTGGCTGGCTGTCGGTGTAGGCACGGCCGGCCGGGCGGACCGACGGACGGACAGTGATGCAAGCGGACGGGCTGCGCAACGCGGCTTGCGCGGCTCTGCGAGGGAGTTCGGTCTTCTGTGTTGTGCGTGCTGTGCGTGGCGGTCGTGGGCGATGAGTTGGTTTGATTGACGATGGATGCTGTGGCGGTGGGTTGGTTGGCCTGCCGGACCAGTTGTCGTGTGGAGTCGTTGGAGTCGGCGGGGCTGACTCGGGCGTGAGCCCCGCGTGGCGGGCGCTAAGCAAAAATTGGGGGTGGTGGGGGCGTGTGGAGGGAGTGTGGCGGGGCTGTAAGGGTTGTTGTTGTTGTTGTTGTTGTTGGGTGGGTGGGTGGGTGGAGGGGAGCAAAAGAAAATCAAAAAGTGGAAGCGGCGAACCAGGTTTGAACTGGTGACCTTAAGATGAATGCAGGAGTTACTGCAGTCCCACGCTCTACCACTGAGCTACCGCCGCTTGATGGAGGGAATAGGATTAAGAAGGAATATATTGTGATAACTACGGCGCCCTCTTGCTCCCATCGTTGCAACGCGACCATGTGTGTCTGTCATCAAGAACAAAATTCAAACCGGGCTACTCTCATAGTTTCGCCCCGGCGCGCGTCGAGCTCAAGATATTTGCAATAGTGTAGCTTTCCTAGCGAATATAACCCCTAGAACGCTAATTAAACTACGATGGCAGGTATACCGACTATTCCTACTTGTATCTTCTTTCCATGGAATTAAGGACTACTCATGATATGGTTTTCACTCATCTAGATCTAGATAGTCTGGCATATACCTAGAACGTATAGGTTTGGCTCTCTACATTTGAAGGGGTTTGGGGTGCTAGGTAAGTTGCTACAAATTATAGTCCCCTTTTTATAGGGTCTATCGGTTTTCAATATAGAAAGCTCAATAGGCTAAGTATTATACTCTACTAGGCACGCGGTCGCATTAAGCGTAGTCCGCGTGACGTAATGTTAACCGCAGCCAGCGATGTCGCATAAATAACCTCGTCGCCCACATCTAGTCACTTCTCTTCCAACGACAATCATGACAAGCGGTCTTTTTTCTCGACAAATTCTACCGATCCTGAGACTTATTGCTTCACCATGGAATCTCTGTTCATTCTAGAAACCCTGCTGTCTGTGTCCAGTATTATTTCTATGGTGAGGCTCGGTGCCAACAAGTTTCGATGATGAAGTTCAGCATCAAATATGTTTCTGGGTGCTGGATAGCTGTCAACAAACTGCTCTCAAACTTGAGATTCGGAAAAAGCAAGCAGACTGATAAATTCTCGACCTTATGAAATACTTGAGAAACACACAGGGCGACTCGAAAATAGAGAAACGTGTCGCGCGCGTAGCTTGCGCCTGCGGGATGGACTTCTAACTTGACCCTCGAGCGAACGAATAGTTACATAAGTTTTCTATATCATGTGGTTGTGTAGAATAGAACCGAAACGTGCGACACTGTAGCGGTATCCGATACCGGCGGAATCCACCGATTTTAGCGCAAAGGAATGCATTTCCTGCTCTTCGCGTTGTCACTTGATCGACTAAAAGCTTACCTAGGCTTGGTACAAGTGGACCAGCTGGACCTTGCTTCACTCGCAGTCGGGGCAACACTATCCAGATCAGGGAATCTACGGTCACAGGGACACATTAGCCTTGCCTGTTACAACACGAGTGCGAGAGATCCATGGTTGTCCCTAAAAGAACTCGTGTCGTTGATCGCCGTCGTGAGATGATCCGCATAGTCCTCATGTATGAAGGAATTTTTGATGCTTACCTACAATATTTTGTCATGATGCAATCCTGCACCACAAACTTCAAAGAGGTAGGGATTACAACATATAGCCTGGTGAGAATGAGGTGGTGGCTGGGCCTCACCCAGCTCGATCTCGTCGACGAGTACGGCTACGTAGCTCAAGTATCGGGTGCGAATGGCAGTGTCCAGAGTGGGGTGTAGCTAGTAGGAATTGTGCCCATCAAGCCAGGCTGATGAGCTTCTCTTCATAGGTCTCTTACAAATCCCAGAACACGTGCCGACAGCCTCTTGCCATCTCGTCGCACATATACCTTCACCTGCACATGCACATGTACAACTCATAAAAATCATCATACCATCATCCCATCCCCCCAGGCATTCAAGCATTCACACCCTCACCATCGACCCCATTCTCCAGCCCCTCCCCCCCTTCGACCCTCCAATCTGTCCCCTTCTCCTCTTCCTTCCCTCCATCCTGCTCCCCTCCATCCTCACTCGGCCCCAAACAATCCCTAACAATCCCCAACAACTCATTCTGTTTCTCCTCATCAAACCGCGCATCCAGCTCCTCGCAGATGATGTCGAGATCGGCCAGCGTCTTGGGCCGCAGATTGACAATCTGCAGGTACTCTGCCTTTTCGAGCTCGAAGCCGGCGGCTGTGGTGCGGCGGTAGAAGTCTGTGATGTTTTGGGGGTTGTATTTGGTGGGTGGGACGAGGGGGGAGTTGGGGCGGGTGAGCTCGGTTGTTACCTGCGGGTTTGGTTAGCGTTGGGGCGTTGATTGAGAGGGAGGGGAGGAGGGCGAGGGGATGTAACGGCAGAAGGGAATATGGAAGAGGAAGAAATGGGGAAAGTTGCAGTCTTACGTCGGTCAGAATGCGCTTGAAATTCTTGGGCATGGCGCGAGCGCGGCCGGTGCCGTCGGTGCCGTTATACTCGGCTTCTTGCTCCTGGATGATCTTGAGGACTTCGTAGTTTGTGAGCACCGAGCTCTGCTTTTCTAAAATCTTCATGTTGGATCGCGTGAGGATGAATGACGTGGGGTTATGAGGAAATGCGGGTGTTTCCAAGAGAGTAGTAGGTGCTGCGCCGCCTTAAGTACAGGGTCGGTGATATTGGCTTTTTTATCTGTGGAAGTGTCTGCGGTCCGGAGATGTTTTGGCCCACGCTATCTGGTGGAGTCCTCGCCAGGAGACAGTGTCGCCGTATCTGTCGGGGTGCGGCTGAGGTGTTGATGTGCAATGGACGAGTCTTATCAGATGACGAGGCCCTTAGTTTCCGCAATGACTGTCTGGTTGGAAATACCGAGGGGGAAAAATCCTTGCACCGGATAACCTTCCGGCCTGTTTCGGACGAGAATGAATAGATGACGTTGGAAAATGCACAGAGAATGTGAGGTCGGTGAATTGAGTCTGTTGGTCGAAAGGCAAGTTTGGTGGTCTGGACCAGTCGATCGGAGCAAATCAAACCGTTGACGCAGGGCTTCAAGTTGTTCCCGCGCTCGGTGGTGGATGCAAACGCGCCAGAACCTCTTTTATCTTGTAGCGGCCGGAGGCTATGATATATCCACGAGAGATTTCCTTGCTCTTTCTTCTACGCTGTTGAAGTGATAATGTGCAGGAGGTTGGAGACGAAGCGAAGTTCTCAGTATCAAAAGCTATCTCGCTCGGCTATTCCCCGGCATTTGTTCGCATGTCATCAAGCATCAAGGTCACGCATAGCAGCCACACAGCATCAGTTCTCCGAGACGTTTTCATGAGGCCATTTCATAGTACATTTCAAGCGTAGGGTTCCCGCTATGAGCACTTTCAATGAGATCTTTTGTTACTTCAGTTCTCTCATATAAATGCCTCGTCCTAACCTCCCACCAAAAGACCATCATCCAGCGCGACTAGCGATGATCCTCCACGCATGTCACGCAGCCCTCAACCCCTCAAGGCCCTGAACCTGCCTCTTCAGCATCGTGACCGCACCCCGACTGACCCTCCTCAATCCATCCCTCGCACCATCAACCTGCTCGACCTCGCTATTCGCAATGATACCATTGGCGACTTCAATCGCCTTATCCAGAAGCCGCGGTCCCCGCTCATCCAGGTATGCCCACTTGATGTCGTCGCCGAATGGCGCTGGCAGATTCGTCAATGCGTGGGTGATGAAGTTGCGGGCGCGGAAATATGTCTTCTCGGAGTATAGAGCTGACGGGAGTGCGGATTCTTCAGTGCCGTGGCGGACTTCGTAGCCGGCTTCGTCTGTGCAGAGAATGTCACGTTAGTTAGATGCAGAGACTAAGTAGTGCGGAAATTTCAGAGGGTGGGACATACTGTAATAAGGCTCTTTGACTAGCACCAGCCCCAGCAAGCTCACCAACACCTGCAATAACGTGCTCTTCCCTGGACTCCAATTCTCGTTTCTTTCGTCTGCATGCCACGTGCCCAGCAAGCTAAGACATATCTTTCCGTCCTCGTACAAATTCGGATTCACGGGACCAAGACCGTTCGTCCAGCTGTGGAAGAATGCTTCAGGCGCTGACAAGGGGTAACTCGAGCCGAGGTGGAAATCGATGAGGAAGGGCGCGTACTCATATGGCGTGTCGATGGGGCCGATGATCAGCACTCGGAGAAGGTCGAGGCGAGATTCCCAAGTCCGCACGAAGATACCTGGAGGAAGGGAGCTTCCCAGGATTTTGTGCTCTTTCTGGATGCGACGAATCCTCTGTGAAGAATGTACCCCAGCCTCACCATAGTAATGGTGATCGGTGGGCGGTTCGGACTCAAGGATAGCGAAAGCGGGCGGCGCGTCTGGGTACGCAGAGAAAGACAGTGGTTCACCGGTGCCGCCAGACTGAGTTGAATTTGAGATTTCCTCATTCGTATCCAACTGGTCTGAAGGGCGTTCAGCCGGTTTTTCGGTCTGGAGCTCTGGTGTGGTTTTCGAAGTGTCAACTTCGTTGGGTGACGTGCCGGTCATGTCGACGTCGCCATCCTCAGGCGATGAACCCTCATCGTCCTCTTCTTCAGTGGACCACGCCCCATCCTCGCTCTCTGCTTCCACTCGCACCCGTTCGCCGCCAGGTGTTTGATATTCGTACCACATTTCGGTGAATTGATCCTGATCGCTCTCATACTCATCCATCTCATCCCAGTCCTCTTCTTCCTCGTCCGACATATCTTCGTAAGTGGGGTCCGCTGCTTGGTCGTCAAAGGAGGTGTTGTAGGCCAAAATGGCGCACTCTGGCTTCACCTTGACGTCTCGCACTGGGTCCATTGCTCCCAGCCTCACCGTGATTAGGCCATCCAGACCAAGGTCGACGACTTCGCCAAGCCAGTCAATGGCATCGCTGTGTATGGCCGCGCCATCTGCAGTGCCGTATGAATTCCCATATATGATGACATAATCGCCGCGCGTCCGACTCAAAGTCGGTGTTGCGTGGATGTCGTACAGACTAACGTTTTCGCTCACGTCGTCGATGAGCGGACCCAATCGAGCTCCAGGCAGTAGATCAGTACCAACAAATCTGACCACGGTATGTTCTTCTCTGAACCATTTAACGCTGGCCATACGCTCCACGCCATCGACCGTCTGTACCACACCCACCTTTTTCGGCGCTTTGTACCAAGTATCGAGAGACGCTGGATCGTTTTCATTGGTACATACGATCTCACCGGGCCATACTTCGTCCTCGTCATCGATGTCGCGACTTGGCAG